TTGTTGTTGTTTGTCCTCACGCTCCTGCTTCAGTCGTGGTGAAAACCTACTGATCCGCTGGCTCGATTCGTGTCCCTGCTGACGTCATGACTTCAGGCCAGGCGAGTCACCGTGAACGGGTACGGGTCAGCGATATCGCAAGGGCAGGGACGCCTCGTGCACTGGCACCCTGCACGAAGAAGTTACGAAGCACAGAACATTAAGGTCGTAAGTATCGGAAGTAAGCCTATTATTTAAAAAGTCATAAGTATCGTAAGTAAACCTATGATCTAAATAAAGGTCGTAAGTAGCGTAAGTAAGCCTATGATCTAAATGAAGGTCGTAAGTATCGTAAGTAAGCCTATGATCTAAATGAAGGTCGTAAGTATCGGAAGTAAGCCTATGATCTAAAAAGTCATAAGTATCGTAAGTAAGCCTATGATCTAAATAAAGGTCGTAAGTATCGTATGTAAGCCTATGATCTAAATAAAGGTCGTAAGTATGATCTAAATATCTCATGAAGTTAGTGTTATCGTTTGATAACCTATATCGGTGGTTCAAGAAAGAAAGAAAGAAAAACATCACTGACACTGACCATATGAGATTTTCCTTATTGACATGCAAAGAAAATGAAAATAACAAACATTGAAATTAGTGATATGAATTGGGTAAGACTAGGTAGAGATACATTGGAATTATGTTTCCAGTTTGAGAGTCGTCAGGAAAATAAGCGATCTATTTAACTAACTATATCTTTTACAAATGATCTACCAACTTACAGACACATAATGGTGAGAATGGTCATAATGATGAAGCCCATGATTATCAAACTCAAACATAGATTAATGACTACTACACAAGAAATACACACGAAAAGTTTCATTGCATCCTTTTATCAACACAGCTGACTTGCCCTCCATTACGTACTAACCTCTGCGTAGCCTTGTCAAGACTTCCTCGGGACTGAAAAGTCGCGATTCCGCCATCAGCACAATTAAGGCCAAGCTGTCGAATGAATTTTATATCAGAATTACAACACTAATAGATATTTCGAACAGAATCCTATCCGTTTCGCCATCTTATCAAAATATCATATCGATATCGGTATCATTTTTATAGGGTTTAAAATCGTAGTGAGTTGTGTATGATCACCCTCTCCTCCATCTGATACTCACACGAAGAGAACGAAGATGATTTGCCTCATTGTGATGCTTAGGTTTCCCAGATTGCACTGACTCGTCTGAGGTCCTGCGCGAGCTATTTACGGGTCGAGGCAAGGGCGAGGGAGGTCACCATGGAGTTACCAGATAGCTATTTATTATTCAATATTATCGTCTGTTGCTTTTATCATGTTTTGTGATCGTCGTGATAATTTGCTTTATTGATACTTCTTTCTGCATACGAAATCAGGTGATTATGTGGCAGAATATGACTGACAGAAATTGAAAAGGAGAAGGGAAGGTGTTAAAGAAGTATGAAGCAAGGGTGGAATTCTTTGTTCCTTCTCATTACGTCTTTTTGTTCCTGGGACTTCAAGTTCTGAGAAGTTGGATTCTCTTTGATGTTACAGCTGGAGTTTAGAGCAATAAAAGAATATACTCATACACATACATCTGCTGTATGTACATATGTATGTCTACACACACATATATATTATATATGTACATATATAGATAGATAAATAGGTAAATAGATAGATAGATATATGCACACACACACACGCATACACACAATATATGTATATTCATATGCTGCTTATTCGTATAATTATTTTCATTATTATTTGCAATACTTATAATATATGCATACATATCTCTTCTAATAAACTACAATGTGATATACAGGAGGCTGAAATTTCACATACACATAGATAAGCATCTCTATGTTTTGATTTCCAGTACTTAACCCTAGCTTATTTTCTGTTACAGTGGTGAAATCTGCAGTCAGCAAGTTGTGTTTGAAGCTATGAAGTAACCAGAAATCAGTAGCGCATTATCATGGGAATGTGTCCTTCAGAAATGGCTTCTTGGATGGAAAGAGTTGAAAATCAGATAATGCAAGGAAAGGAGAACAAGGAGCATGAGGAAGGATGTCATAGACACAGGGCCATCTGGGCAATTTGAGAGTTGTGAACAGGGGCGTCGTCCTGTAGGAGGCAGACAACTTTGTTCAACATTCCATGCCTCTCGGTCTTGATAGCCTCCCGCAATTTCTGTAGCAGTGACGCGTAGTAAGCTCCTGTAATTGCAATCACTTTTGCCAGGACATCCACCATCACTTCTTCATGTTGGTCTCAAAAGCCTGCGAGCATGCATTTGCTGCCAAGGGTGTGACATGTACTTTTTTGGGAGTTCTGACTCAAAGGGCTTCCATTGTTTAACTGGGCATTAGATACCTGATCATAGTTTAAGACCCAGGTGTCCTCCTGTGTAATTAGTCTGCCAAAAAGTCCTCCTGATTTTCTTGGCACGTGGCTAAAAGAACCTTGGGACAATGGACACTTTCCTGCTTCTGGAACGGTGTGAGTAGCATGGGAAACGGCAACTTTAGCATATGCAGATGGTTATGAATGACTTTATCCCTGTGTTATCATTATCGTTATCATCATGATAAATGTTATTTAATCACTATCACTAGTGTTAATGGATCATTATCATTATTGTTATAAATTTGTCACTATTGTTATCGTTGTTGTCCATCTACTATTACCACTAACATAAACATCATATATTATCATTATCCTCATTATTATCATGGTTATCATCATAAACCTCATAACCATCATCCCCATCGTTTTCATCATTATAAACATTACAATATCAATATATGCAGAGTGTATGTGTCTATGTCCGTGTGCATGTCTTTATATCTATTTATTTATTTTACCACCACAGTGCAGCCAACTTCCCAGAACTTGAAGTCCCAAGAACATCAAAAAAAAAAAAAAAAATAAAAAATAAAAAAAAAATAACGACAATAACAGTGACAAAAAATTAATGAGAATAAGTAAACCTCAAGTGGCAAGACATTTTACCCTCGCTTCACACATCTTTATTATCCTCCACTTTTCTCCTCTTCAGTTTCTGTCAGCCATTTATACTTCCAAACATTGCTATCAATTTTACATATAGAAAGAAGTATCGATAGGACAATGATAGTGGATGATAAATTGCTATCTGGTAACCCCATAATGACCTCCCTCGCCCTTGCCTCGCCCCATAAATAGCGCGCGAAGGACCTCAGACGAGTCAGTGCAGGTTGGAAACAAACAGTGCGATGAGGCCAATCTACTTCGTTATTTTCGTGTGAGTGTCAGCTGTTATTTTTTTTTTAAAAAAACAGAGTAATATTTTTCAGAGGCCATAAAATACATACATACATATATGCATAGACACACACACACACACACACACACACACACATATATATATATATAATATATATATATATATATATATATATATAATATATATATATATATATATATATATATATGTATACATGCATACATACATATATATATATATATATATATATATATATATATATATATATATATATATATATATATGTATACATACATACATACACACACGCACACACACACACACACACACACACACACACACACACACACACACACACACACACACACACACACACACACACACACACACACACACACACACACACACACACACACACACACACACACACACACACACACACATATATATATGTATATATATACATATATATATATATATATATATATATATATATATATATATATATATATATATATAATATATATATATATATATATATATATATATAATATATATATATATACATATACATATATATATATATATATATATATATATATTATATATATATATATATATATATATATATATATCATATACATATTAGGATGTAAGGAGATGAAAATACCTTTATTAATGGCTACATCTGATAACAAATAGTAAGATCTGAGACTGATCTTGAAGACTGTCAGGTAGATGTTTCTGTCTAAACTGTCATTCATAAGAAAAACAATCGTTCTGGCAGGTTGGCTGTGGTGGTGCTGATGGCAGAGGCGCGGAGTTTCGCGGAAAGTAAGTACACTTACATGATGGGGGGACAAACATGTTACAACAAAGGCAAAAAAAAAAAAAAAAATAAAAAAAATAAAAAAAAAGGAAAGAAAGAAAAAAAAAAAAAAAACGCAATATTATGCACATTATTTTTTTTTCTGCCAGGTAGTCAGTTTTATTTATGTTTAATTTAATGATTGTGGTTTCCATCATTAGCATTATCCTCATTATGACTCATCTATATGTAGTTTACTGAAAAAAGATGTTGCCTTTTTATGTGAAAACGTATTTCTTTGTTTCTTCATTTAGTTTCATCTTTCAACCAAATTTTGACGAGCTTCTTTTAGTATTTTTAAAATATTTTTTAATCGGAAAAATAAAAGCTACGAAATCCTGTATAGCACTTTATTGTTATCATTAGTATCTTTGTTATTATCATTATTATTATCTATATCATTACTATTGTTATTGTTATTATTTTGTTATTGCCTTTCTTACTATTATTATCATTATTACTATTATTACTATTAATATCATCATTACAATAATAATAATGATATAACGATAAGAATAATGATAATGATACTTATAATAATAATGATGATTATGATGATAGCTGCAATAATAATATCAATACCAATGATAATGATAATGATGAAGATTAGTTATCATGATCATTATTATTATTGTTTTTGTTAACATTACTTATTTATCATTATCATCATTTATTATTGTTATTAGAAAATCGCCAAGATCTATTTACGCAGGAAACAGGCTTGGCAAAATCACTAACGATAATCATAGCATTAAAAATTACATTCGATATTCTGATATCAGCCTTAGATATCACGCTGATAGACTGGCTCACTTCATCCTTTCTTTTATTTCTTATTTTCTATTTATTATTATCTTTTATTTCAC